ATATATATATATACATATACAAGCATCACTTGCTTGATGACTGTTTCATTGCATGCTTATTTCAAAATCAGTTGCAGTTCATATTTCAGTCGTAAGAGGCGATTAATTAAATGAGCGATTGTCAGCATAATTATATACAGACATGTAAGCGGACTGTTTGAAGTGCAGCTGAATTAATGTTAGCGAAATTCCGAACATTTTTCAATCCCAGGACAGGGATGAAATTGTGAGGTTGGCAAATAACCATGAATGGAACATAAAACAGCGGTGTTGACGAAAGACGAATCAAGAGTGATGATACTAGGCAATTTTTATTTATTGCTTTCTGAAAAACGAGAGTCAAGGTAGTGATATTATGTAACGATTTATTACTGCATATGATCGAAATGGTTGGTAATGGTTGTTGTTATTTGAAATCAGCATATTGTCAAAAGTGTACAAAATGCAGTGTCATGTCAAATCACGACATCCCCGAATTTTCCAGAGCATAAATCCCAAGATCAGCACCGGGCTTCAAAAGTTGGGATTCATTGCAAACAATAAATTCAACTAAGCATTGTAACATTCGTACAGAATTTTTTTTTATTCTCGGAAGAGAAGAAAGGCTGAAATAAAATCAATAGAGATAATTGCTTGAAGAAGCGTTCTGAAGAGAAATTGCATTAAATTGCACTTGAAATGATTCATACTGATGAAAGTAAACGCGACTTCTTTGCATAAAAGAAGCTGATTAAAATTCAACATTATTTGCTAGTTAATTCAGCTGGAAATGCTGATAGGTGTTCATACATCAACACGTACACAACAAAGTATATCGAGCAAACGGGTCGCTATTTGCAAACAATGAGAATTCTCGCAAATATTGTGCACATAAATATCGGTTTTCTGAAATACGCCAGTGAGTACATTGCAACCTATGCAATGATAGACGAGGACTGAGACTGGTTATGGTCAGCTTATGTCATCTGAAAGATTTCACATGAAAGTGCACATCTTCAAAACCCATCCGAAAAAGGGCAGAATCCCAGATAGAATGCGAATGTTCATGCTGTGTTGTTATGTTTCAATAAGACAAACCAGTGAACGAACAACTTACGGGGGATTATCTCGTCATCAAAAACACATCAGCAATTAACCACTAACGCAGCGCTATGTCACTAATCCAAATCTAAAATAAACGATCTACCTTTAGATAAATACACTTTGTTACTATTTCACTTCATAAAGATATGCTTCGAAATTAAAGTTTTTTCCAAAATATTCTTTTTATTACACATTTTCATGAAAGTTTGCTCTTCAAAACCAAAATCCTGAAAAATAATCATTTCAACAGAAATTAGCCAATACTCCAAATGTGCTAACAGTCCGAATTTCCGGATCATATGTCGCTTCTTCTTTTGTTTCTTTTGCTCTTTTCAAATTTTTTCAATCGCTCAATGAATCTGTTAATGAAAGAAGCAGCAACCAGTGATAGATGATATCGCTAGTTATGGACAACAAAAATAATAAAATAATAGTGATAATAAAAATAATAGTAGCAATAATACTAGTATTGTTAATAATAATAATAAAATAATAATAATAATAAAATAATAATAATAATAAAATAATAA